GGAGGCTCCCGCCGCTCAGCTGGGGAAAATGGTGCCTATGGGGAAAACATCGCAAAGCGATTTTTCCCCATAGGCACCTTCGTTATACGATCGCAAAAGCGATGGCATTTTTGCCATCGCTATGCGAATTCGTCGTTAAACGGGGCACTTGTTATACGAGGCACCACTGTACTTTGATTTGGATTCCTTCACTAAGCAGGGGTTGGACACAATGACTTTATAGGGCCCTTCCAACTCAGTGATTCTGTGGTTCTATAATTGTTCTGTCACATTTATGAAAATTCTCAGGACTGTCCCATGAAAGATCAAGAAGTCGTATTTTATTTAAAGCCAAAATATAAGGCCCCAAGTACAGTGGTGCCCCGCATAGCGACGTTAATCCGTTCCAGGATTAACGTCACTATCCGGATTCCTCACTATGTGGTGGGGGGAACCCCATGGGAACGCATTAAACTCTGTTTAATGCGTTCCTATTGGGACAAAACTCACCGGTAAGCGAAGATTCCCCCATCCGGCTGCCATTTTCGCTGCCCGGTAAGCGAGGGCAGGGCGCGAAAACGCTGCGGGCAGCCATTTTGGTGATCCGGGGCCATTTTGGAACCACCAATCAGCTGTTCTATAAACATTGCAATGTGAAGATCGGTAAGCGAAACGCTTACTGATCATCACCATGCGATTTTCGGCCATTGAGAACGTCGCAATGCCATCCCATTAGCAATCACAAAAAACATGTCGCTATACGAATTCGTCGTTAAACGGTGCACTCGTTAAGCGAGGCACTACTGTAATTGATTCATACTGCAAGAAAGGGGATTTCATTTCAACATAAGGAATAACTTCCTGGAAGTAAGACTGTCTTGAAGGTGTCTTGAACTCACCTTTGCAGGAGGTTTTTAAAGAGAGGTTGGGTGGCCATTTGTCAGGGTTGCTTCAGCTGTGAATATGCTGCTTAGGCCAAGGTTGGACTCTGAGACTTTTGAAGGGTATGTTCTAACTCTGTGATTGTTTCTACTGAGAGAGAAAAAAAGTTAAAGAAAAAGAGCTGTGTGCAGCCTTTTGATGATTAGTTGTAGGAGCCTGCATTCTGGAAGCAGACTTTACTTCTTTTTCTGTTGTCTCTATTACTTAGAAATCGATTTTCTGTGAAAACTGATTGTGTGAGAAATAGAGAAGGGTGGGATATTCTTCTGTGTCAATCCAAATCCGTGGTGTCATGGTGAACTCTTTATAACATGTCGCTTTGGTTATCTTTATTTAGAAAAAGGAGACAGCAGAACAATGATAATTGATAGAGAAGGAAATTCAGATTATTAATAGCAGGAAGAACTGTGGAAATGTAAAGCTCTTAAAGTTGTTTTTGGACTGACAAAGGGCTGCAAACTTAGCTATGCAACCCTGTAAAGAGCTACAGGAAAAGGTTATCAGGGAAGTACATATAGGATTGTCAAGGGAAACTGGTGGTCTAAAACAGATTCCTAAGAATTTAAAGTTACATATATAAGAACATATTTTCAAGTACCTTTGTTAAGGAATACAGTTTGAAGTATTCCCTTTTCACTGTAGTTAGTAGTTAAACTGTTTAACTACAGAATAAAAATAACATTCCCATGGCATTTAAGATATGCTTACTGAGTTGAGGAACAAACTCTTGAACATAACTTGCTTAGTATATCATTTTTACTAGGCCATATTAATGTGAAGATGGGCACAGAAATTACCTGTAGATGACTTCAAGAAGACTGCAAGATTTCCTGTTTATGGGCTTCTGTTTGATCAATGGGGTAAAATCCATGCTCTCCACTACTACTGCACATTCAAAAAGCTCTTAAAAACAGAGGTGTTTAGAGAGGCTTTTAGAAACATTCTCCCCAATTAATTGGGACAATGGAGAAAGGAGGATAAGGGCATTGTATTGGATCCCCTGAAACTATTGTTAGCTGCCTGTCTTGTCCTGTTTGTTTATTTGTGATAGTTGACTGTTTCAGAATAATTTTATTGTATGTTTCTGTATTTTCTTTGTTGCATGCTGCCCAGAGTAGCAATTTGCTAGATGGGTGGTATATCAAACAAACAAACAAACAAACAACCATGGCTGTTTTACTTGAGCTGTGTCCCATATCACGTAACATGTTTCAACTGCCCAGAGTAGCAATTTGTTTTACTTGGGCTGTGTCCCATATCACGTAACATGTTTCACAGAATTTTCATCACTTGATTATCCTGTCTTAAAGTATCTCAGGGTCCTTGTTTTGCTGTTCATTTTTAAAAATACTGTACTAGCAGAGATATTCACTGAACGGAACACATTCATAGGGGTATTCCTATACTGTAACTGAAAGATGTATAACTCATCAGAGATGCTGACAGGCCTAAAACAAAAATTGATATGAGCTCCTCTCCATCAGACAACTGAACAAAGAGGCCAGAGTACATAATGATCTCTTTACCAAACAGTCTTGGTGTTCCCAAATGCTCACTCATTCCTGTCACAATTGTTAACATGTCCAGTTTCAAGCCTCTGTCAGATGGTCCAGATTTCCTGTGGCAGAACTCTTGGCAACCGCAGGGATTGATACAGCCAATTCTGCCTTGAGCTCTTGGCTTCTTAATGTCTATTTTCTGCCACAGCCTTTTTGTGTTGGGACACTCAGGCTCCTTACATCCCTGAAATTTTTGAAGCGTTTAGAAACAAAGGCTTCAAAATCTAATTTTCCAGTTAGATTTGAGCAACATGGGACAGCAGTACTGAATTCTGTTTAACCAAAGGGAGACTATCTGTGGGCTTCACTAGATTAAGATTTAGGACATCATCATCCAAATGAAATACTAAAATCTTTCTATAAAGAGAAAATGATGGGGAATGCATGCAAACTGCATGATTCATGCATTTGCCAGAAGTCAACATGGAGATCAACCAACCTGTCATTATTAAAAGTTAAAGGGAACATTTGTGTGTGCACGTTCTATTAAGCCTTTAAGCAATAGTGTGGGTAGGACTGTGCCTAATTAATATTAATCAATTCTTATATCATCAAATCAGCTCATACTACATATAATAGAAAGAAATCTGTTTATTCTCCGGATAAACATTTGAGAATAGGTATCTATTTATACTATGCTGAGATGCAATAAAGTTTTTCTCCATCTCTACTATAAATGTATTTACTGTCTAGAATATTCTGTTATTACAGTAGTGCCTCGCATAACATTTTTAATTGGTTCCAAAAAAAAAAAACCTTATGCGAGGCACCACTGTATTTTGAAAGCTAAATTCACAAGCCAGAGCTCTTTGTGTTCAAAATATTTCTCCTGCTGAAATCGGTAGTTATCCATTGGCTTGAATCGGAGGGCTGCTTTCGAGCAACTTTGAATCAAGTGATGAGACCATTTCATTTGATATATATAGAGATAGAGAGAGAGAGAGAGAGAATGAGAAAGAGAGAGAGTGCTGAAGGGTAAGAAGTTTAAATCTTTGTACTGTATCAGTTTTGGTCTGAAGACGAGCCCTGTGCACATTCCATAGAAAAAAGTCATGTCTAGGAGTTGTTAAATCATTCTGTGGGGCTCACCACAGATATTAAATCGGAGAGGGAAATGTGAACAGAAATCCTAGGAGATTTAGCTTGCATGCTGCAAGCAGAACTGCATGTTTCTGGCAGCCGCTAGAAATATTGCCCAGGTCTGATTCAGGGATATGACAGGGAATGGAAATCTTCAACACTCCGTCAAATGTATTGCTGTGTGTTGAAGTATTGTCTTCTATTACGAAGTGCAGTTTACTTCCTACATTTTAACTATTAGACATAAAAGTACGCTCCCATTTACAGACTTCTCAGTATGTTTTAAAACTGTCTTCAGTGTCAGTCCTCTGGTTGTTATGAAACTGCACTAACTCTCTCTAGAAAGATAACTTTACATCCTTCCTCTTCCATTGCCTTTTTTAATTTTCTCTATCACTCATGGCTTTTAGTAGTCATGCTTACTAAGGTTCTGTATTCTGAAGGAAACACTTCCACCCTTTTCAGGTGCTTCAGACTCCTGGATGTAACAAATTCTGCTTAATAATATTGATTACCTCTTGAAGCAAGACAGGGAAGCTCAAGAATTTTTAAATAATAAACTTGTGATTCATAAAGCAGTCATTATCCAAAATAGCTAGTATACTGAATATGTGATACAACACAATCAATAAATGTGTTATAAATCACAATGCTTAAGAGTGTCATAATAGTGTTTAGAGTTCACAATCTGTTGGAGTGTTTAGTTATATAAAGTCCATGTGCTCACCAGAATGTTTATGACAATTCCTCTCAGCGAGTGTTACAATATGATCCTTTAAACCTTTTTTATTACAATTTTTTAAAGTACTTTGTGGAGTGGTAAGGAGTTGCTGAAATAAGCTGTAAGGGGACCTGATGGTATGTACACATACCGTACTTTGTATAATCTTTTCCTTTCTACAATTCCAGAAAATTGTGGAACATACTTTCCAGAAGTGAAACGAAATCCAGAGAAATATATACAGTGTTGTTCTGATTCTGTTAAAAAATGGTTAAGAAGACTGAAGGACAGTGGAAAGATTCTGCTTTTAATTACCAGCTCTCACAGTGACTATTGCAGGCTCTTATGTGAGCACATTATAGGGTAAGTGTAGTACTTCTGTGTTTGTGTCACTTTACTGTAGCCGCTATCTTCCAAATTGTGTTTAATGATAATGATACTTAGAAATGAACCTCAGTCACTGGGGACTTCAGGAGATTCACACTTTATATTAAAATGTATGAGAAGATAATATGGGACATATTCATCCACTACTTGTAATAGAAGCCAAACTAATGAAAAGTAGGAAACACACAACATTCTCTTAATGGGGGCTTCTATTATTTTTTAATTGAAGCTTAGCTGTTTAGACTGTGAATGTAATTAGAGCAACAGCTGGAGGAAAGGATGTTTGATCTTTTTCTACTAGGCCATTTTTGTTCCAGTTTGAGGACTTACTGTACTTTTTTCCCAGGAGGAAAAGGTATGGAGAGTCAGAACACCCCTTCCCCACCCCTACCTCTCTTTGATTAGAATTCTGCCTTTTCATAGGGAAAGTTCAGGGAAAGCATGTTGAGAGATTGCTTGTGTGCTAAAAAGAAGAAAATGTGAGCAAATATACTTAGTGGAATATTATTTACTTCAGCTTTTCGGCAAAGTGGGATGTCCTTCTAGAGCTTCTGCGATAGCAAAAAAACACATTAGTGTAGACCCCTCCCCCTCTGTATATGTATCTTGGCACCAAGACTCTCCCTTCAGTTTCTTTCAGCTGTTGCGTTGAGAGCCTCGTATCATTGCTTCTGTGAGTGTCTTTTTCCTAAAAGCAAAAGAGAGTTTAATCTTGATTCCTTTTAATTTATTTTAACCCTTATTGTTTTTTTCTTTCAAAAAAAGGGGGGTTCTTCTTTTCGTTCTGCGCCGAAGGGCCCCCCATTTCTTTTCTCATTTTATCCATATTTCATGGCCCCCTTGGGTCTGTTTAAACGTTGCATGGTCTGTGACAATAAGATCCCACTTTCGGACAGCCACACTAAATGTCTTCTCAGTCTTGGTGAGGCTCACCAAACCTCCTTATGCCCTCACTGTAAGAACTTTAAGCATGGAGTTCTCTGCACTCACCTCTCTAGGCTGAAGCTTTGACTTTGGGAACAATCCCTTCAACCTGTAAAATCTATGGCTCATCCTGCTTGTAAAACCACCTCACAAGCTAAGTCCATAGAAAAAGCCATCTCAGAGATGGCAAAACAATGCCCTTCGGCCACACCATCGTGCTCCGATGCCCCCTCAACATAATCCAAACAGGCGAAGGGGCACAAAACTAAACAGTCGATGTCAAAGTCTTCAACATCAAAAATGACCACAAAAAGAAAGCCATCTGACACCTCTTCGGCTCCGGATCCCTTGCCACTGAAAAAGTTCAAATCCTCAAAGGCGAAAACCCTAGGGATTACTTCTCCGCAACTCTCAGAGTCCCAGGATTTGATTTCCATCAGTTCACCCTCAGACAAAGAGCTCCCACGCCATCAACCATATTCTTTGCAATCGCCAGAATGGGAAGAACGGGTGGATCAGCTTACATCCTCTCCTGCCACCATCAACCAGATTCTTTGCAATTGCCAGAATGGTACATCCTCTCCTGCCAGACCCCAGCAATCTGGCTCCCCTAGCAAGCCCTCTTTGGTTGCTTCACCTGATGTGCAAGGGGTAGAAATCCAACCTGATACCGTGCCCTCCTCTGTCCCAGGAGACCCACCACCTTGGCCTCCGACACATCATCAAGGGCACCAACTATCGGAGAACAGCAGCCTGCTTTCGCGTGCAGCATCGACCCATGCCCAGCACCATTATCAGGTAGCCACTTGCCCCGACCAGTGCTCAACCAGAAAACCTGCCAAACATTATCAACTGGTTTCTCTCCCTGTTTTGACGGCAGTGCCATACCAGAAGCCTCGCTCTCGGCATCTCTCGGTGTCAAACTGATCTCTCCATCAGGAGCATCAGGGGCTACAGACTGCCTATCAGCCGGCACCTAAAAGATCCAGAACAGCAGATCAATACTTCGGCTCAGAGTGTGTTTGCAGCTCTAGTAGGCCGGGAATTCCTGGCCCAAAAGGATTGGGATCGATCTTCCCACTCGGCATCACCAGCATCTATTTACTCCACAGCCATCCAGTGTGGTCCATCTATGCATTTACCACCTCAACAACAACCTCCATTTCATCACCACCAAGGTACTGGCTCTGATATCGATGATCCTCAATATCGACCATTACTCAAACATCTATTTTGCCACCATTGAGATACCGGCTTCAGTATCAATAATCCCTGATATCGACCTTTGCCCATGGACGTTCCATCAACATCATTGCCCGTGGATGATCCTTGATACCAACTGATGTCCATCCTTTACAGGAGCTTTACTGAAGCCTCTACACTACCTTCAGTTAATCCCTCTCTCTCCATGGTCCTTTGTTTTCTGCTTCATCTTAAAATCAAGGGCCTCTCTCTTTCTTCCTTGAGGGTTTGTCTTGCTGCAGTCATTTCCTGTCAACCACCAACCTCCCCAGCATTTCAGTTCTTCAGACACCCTACTCTGAAGAGGGCTTGCTAGGGGAGCCTGAAGGATTTATCACACATGTATCCAGGGGTGCGCCCATCTTCTCCTCAATGGTTTTTAACAGTAGTCCTTCAGCAACTCACCAAGGCCCCATTTGAGCCCTTATCTTTGGTTGATTTTAGACTTACCTTTAAGACAGTGTTCCTCATTGCTATCACATCCGCTCGTCATGCCAGTGAACTTGCAGCTTTGCGTTATGATTATCCTTATCTCCAGTTTTTTCTGGATAAAGTCAAGTTGTTTGTAGATATTTCTTTTCTCCCCAAAGTCGTTTCCCAGTTTCATATGTCCCAACCATTGGTTCTCCCATCTTTCTTCCCGTCTCCATCTACTGCTCTGGATGCAAGCCTTCTGACATTCAGCTCGACTTTTCGTCAGCTATCAACTCCTAATGAAGGGTTTCCAGGTGACATCACAAAGAATCTCCAGGTGGGTTGCTTCTACCATCCACCTGGCATACCAGCTTGCTCGAAGGTGATTCGCCCTCACTCCACTAGGGTAGTGACAGCTTCCATGCCGTTTCTTACAGACATCTGCACCTCTGCCACATGGTCATAGCTGTCAACATTCATCAACCACTATAGATTGGATGTTCAGCAAAAATCTGATGCAGCCTTTGGACATACTGTGCTAGCCTCTACCTTGGCATGATACCCTCTTCTGGGTAAGACAGCTTCCTAGTCCACCAGGGTGTGATTCACAGAGGCCACAAAGAAGAATGGCGAGTTATTCACCTGTAATTGTAGTTCTTCGAGTGGACCTCTGTGATTCACACATCCTGACCCGACCTCCCCACTGACACACCATACAGCTCTAATATACGGCAGTTGACCTAACTGAAGTGAGAGTCTTGACGCCAAGGTACATATACGGAGGGGGAGGGGTTTACACTAATGTGGTTTTTTGCTACTGCAGAAGCTCTAGAATCTTCCGACGAGGCTCCGTGTAGGTGCGGATTACCCAGGGTGTGAATCACAGAGGTCCATTTGAAGAACTACGATTACAGGTGAGTAACCTGTTGTTTCAAGCTTCTCCTCAGCTAGAAGTTTGGAATTTATGGCCAGTCTTTTGAAACAGTGGGGGACAAATTGTCTGTCCTTTGTTTTAATTTGGGTCATTAATGACCGCATATAATTTTGAAACTACCCACAAGAACTTGATGTACAGCCTTGAAGAAGTTTATTTATCATCTAAAACTTGCTGTTTTTTTTTAATATTCTTAATGGACCCATCACACTATCACCCCTTCCTTTAACTGTAAACTGTATATTATAAGCACCTTATGCTATATTGTCAACTTTTTATGCAGATCTAATGAACAAATCATTTTCCACACACTTTCCTTTAGCTATTATTATTTTAAAACACAAGTTTAGTTTCTCTTGGTATACAGGTCTAGTTGCATTTCAGATTGTAGTTTTTTTTACAGAGCATTATACAGAATATTTTTTAAAGTTAGCCAATAATAATCATTGGTCTTCACATGCATCTGTTGAGAATATGACCTTAGCAAAACTCTTTTTAAAAAAACATTTTTGTTAACCTGTGTGTGTGTGTGTGTGTGTGTGTAAATTTTATATATATAAGAAGGCTACTCTTGTGCATGAAGGTCATTGTTTGGGGAACTAACCAAGCCGACTAAAACTTTTGCACTTGATTGTACATGGAGTCCAGAGATGTTGGAAGACAATATAAATGGAATATTTTAAGTCTCTTATTTCATTGTAGGACTTAGGTTAGTCTAAACATTCACTGGATTGTGCCCAAGGATATAAAGACTACAGTTTGCTTATATCTCAAATTTTTAAAATATAATTTATTGTCAGATATTTGCTCACTCCAGCACTTAATATTTTTCAGATTAGATTACTGACTGTAAGTATTATGTATCATAAATATTTCACAGATGGAGTTAATTTTATGGATTTGAATATTTATTTTTAGTTAGGGTAAGAACCATGGGCGTTTCTGATGTCTGCAAAACTAATTTGTCTACTTATTCTTGTAGTACCTTTGCAATCAAATCCATGTTGTAAAATCCTAGGATTGTAATTAGTGGGTGTTTTACAGGTTTTCTGTGGTGGTGATCTTTCCAAACACGTAGCAGGTAGAAAGTATTTTTGATTATATAATTCAAAGCCTTAATAAAACATTACAGAGTTTTCTGGTCTATGGCTGTATATGTTTCTTTTCTCCAAAATTTGGCAGCTGTTGGAGATTTCTGGCAAGGAAATATTTTGTAACGTTTGATCTATTTTGTGAATGAATGTAGAATACTAAGCCAGATCTCCATTGCTAACCCCAGTTTCTTTAATTGTTTTTAAAAATATTCTAGAATACCCTTCCTGCTAGTGAATTCCAGGATAGCATACAATAATACTGGATCATGTGTGTTGGGGAGGTGGTATTTTAAGGTCATTGTTCTTCATAAAGCTAGAAGGCAACAAAATATTAAAATTGCAAACAGAGGAAATAAACTCATTTATATTGAATGACTAAATATGTATGTCTTGATTTAAGAACACAAATGTAGAAGAATGTGATACCTTTATTAGACCTCATGAAAAAAAACAAATGCCAGGTTTTGTAAATTAAACATCCCTTCATTTGGCATGAACCAATAATTTGCAGTTCACACAGAAAAGTTATAAATGAATGTCCCAGAAATTCATGGCAAATGTTGCCATGGCATAATCCTCGTAAGGTAAGTTTAAAGCTGGTTACAGGCAGGCTATGAGGATGTGATTTAATGCTTCCCCTTGGTATCATGTCGTTGGAAATTTCCACTCAGTATTTTGACAGAGGCAGAGCCCATCACTCTGCATAAGCCTCCCTCCTATCATCTTTTTTTGGAAATCAAGTTTCCTTTTTTTAGCTGGGGCAAGGAGAAGACCACATGAGACATCACTAGTTGTATTCTAAGAAGGGTGCCCCAGAGTTCAGACATCAACATGAAAGGGCCCCCACTCTTGTGTAGATACAAGGTACTATATCAGCTGATGGTATTCAGAGGACAACCTTATCTTGGTACATGGGCAGGATGGTGCGGGTTCCATCAGGTATGTGAATCCCTGGCCATTAAGGCAGGTGTGGGCAAAATAGGCAGACCTGTTTTCCTAGAAAGGCTGATTGTTCATTCCCCAAGGAGCATGCACAAGGTGACAAGTGGTGTGACAAAACTGGCCAATTAGCAGGACTAATTAGTTCATTAATTTTTCACCAATTTGTGGTGGCAGATAATCTGCTGAGTATTTAAATCAATATTTGGGGGGACAGGAGCTGCATGCAGCCCATTGACCACACTTTGCCCATCTCTGTATTATGGACTTCAGAGGCAAGTTCTGGCATATTAGCTTAGGCTAGAAATGCATAGGTAAGCAGTGCAATTCTTTAAGAACTGGTGTGATATTGGCCAACCTAGCTAAATCAATCAGAATTTTCACAAATGAATACTGAACTAATTGAAACTTTGGAGTCACCTTGAAGGACACCTTCACAGATGCTGCATTACAGTAATCCAGCCACAAGGATGTGGATATATTACAAGAATATAGATAATTGTAGCCAAGCTATCCTTTTCTGGTGATAGCCAATGAATGTTTCTTGCTTTGTCTGTTTGTTATATATAACTGAAAATGCTTGAATTATTCTCCTTCTCGACCTTCAAGTGCCCTTTTAAAAAGAAGCAAGAAAGGGCTGCAAAGGGATTAAAGAACAACTTGGTTTTTTCCCCGTATGTACTTGTCTGTTTCTCATTCTCTTTGATCCTGTCATTTTCCTTCTATTAGTCTCTGTTCTTGAGCCTGTTATCTCTCCTGAATCTTATTTTTCCCATTTGCCTTTCCAAATTTGCATCTGATGGGATGGAGAGACTAGATCTGGTTGCTTCTACCCCAAAATGTATAGGTGAGATGATGGTTTCCGTGTGTTGAACGTAGTTGGGAAACCACACTCAAAGCACCACTCTTATGTATGTAGGAGATTCCCTACACAACTAGGATATTTATATACCTACATATCCTCCTTTGGATATAATAAATATATAATAATTCTAAACACTTCTTTTCATAAAAGTCTCTCTCTCTCTCTCTCTCTCTCTCTCTCTGTGTGTGTGTGTGTGTGTGTGTGTGTGTGTAGAATATTGTGTTACCTCAGACTGGGAGAAATAATCATTTAATCTGTGCGTGTGTGTGTAGAATATTGTGTTACTTCAGACTGGGAGAAATAATCATTTAATACCTTAAATTGCATTTCATGTGTTTCTTTTGTTTTTGTTCCTATAGGGATGATTTTGCTGACCTTTTTGACATTGTAATCACAAATGCCCTGAAACCAGGCTTCTTCTCTCAGACACCAAATCAAAGGCCTTTTCGAACACTCGGTAAGCTAGAATAATATGTAAATATTTAAGCCACTTTAAGGTAAGAGGGCAAATGCCTTTTTAAAGAGCATTGAATGAGACAGTCACCTATGACAACAGAACTTACGAAGATTTTTGTTGTAAATGCAGTTCTTTCTCAAGAACATGGGCTATGGCAGGAAACAGATGAGGCTGGTGAATGTAAAAAAAAGGAAACATAAAGATTACAATGGTTGTTACCAAGAAAAAGGAACAGAAACAATGACTGAGATGTGCTTTCTTGTACTGTACTGTAGTTTGAAAAGATAGTGTTTTTTTGTTTTGGAACGGTAGCCTACAAAGCTCACTGTAACAAACAATATTTGCAATAATGTTAGAAAGTGTTGGTGCAGCATCATGGCTAAATGGGTTTGTCACACATTGAACAGAAATAAAATCAGGAGGTAGCACAAAAATGAATACAATAACAGCAGCAATAAAACTTAAAATCTTATGGCATCCTTAAGACCAGCAGATTTGGTAGTCAGCTACACTAGAATGTGTTTTTTTCAGAGTTCAGTATTTAGGCCACAAGTTTTTATACACAGTGTATGATTGATGGTGGGGACCAAATGACATTGGAGGCAGGCACAAATAATGAACATTCAAGGTGACTGTGGCATTATTAATAAGTAACGAAGTTCCAGAGTACTGGCTACAAAAACATCTGAGCAATAGTGAGAGCAATTACCTAATGCAAACGGTTTCTGTGTTAGCACTCAGTAGTTAGGCTTTTGTTCTTGAAGTGTGGAAGCAATTAATTTCATTCTGGGAAGCCAGATTACTGAGACCAAAGTTTTTCCAAAGCATACAGATTATTGGCTATGCACAAGACTGCAGTGAAAACTTACTTGTTGATATATATATAATGTGCTAAGAAGCTTGCAACATGTTTCCCCATTTACACCTAGTATTACACTTAGCATTTTTAAGTGTACCGTTGACACAATTTAGGCATGCACTTTAAAAAGATTTCTGAAGAGCTCTTGGTAATATGAACCACCTAAACAATGGTGTTTGGTGCACATTTAGGACTTGTGAGACACGATTCAGGACATTTTAATTTCACTACTATCACTAAAATTAACTGAGTACACAGCTAGATATATCCAGATAGAAAATAATCTAAATGTTTTGTAACAGCCTTACTAGTAATTATCTAGACTGCTCTGTCTTTCTGCTAATAAACATTTTAATTAAGATTAAGATTTATGAACTCTTCTAAATGGACGGTTCTTCTCATTAACAAACAAGACATTGGCCAAAGTCTTACTGAAATCCCAAAACTGAAAAAAAGAAGTCTTTAGTCAGCATCAGACTGACTGAACTGTGCATGTAGCATTCATCTAATTGGATTTCAGCCATTGTATAGCCTTCGTCCTTTTTCATTAATTGATTTGTTTCTGGTTAGACAAAAGTTTGGGAAAAAGCATTGGGAAATATGGGAAGGCTTCAAGATGAAGACAACAGCAGGACAGCCATCAGATTCCTTGTATCAAACAGTGTGATTCCACACAGAACTCTTCCACCTTAACTTGCCATCCTCTAGTCATCCTCAAATAATGTTATATTTCTTTAATTAACAATAATTTTGTGTGTTCAAGTCACTTCAAGCTTATAGCAGTCTCTTTTGCTTGATTTTCTTGGTATAAAATACTCTGATGTAGTTTACCATTCTCTTCTTCTGGGGGTGCTGTGGGTCCATGCAGCTTACTCAAGGCCATTCAGTCTGGCTCTTTTTCTACAAGGGACGGTGGGGAATCAAATTCCCAACCTCTGACTCTGCAGCCAGATACCTAACTCACTGAGCTGTCTTTACAGGATGCGAAAGACAAATTGATTTTGCTTTTTTTCCCTCTGTAATTCCTGTCTTCTTAAAATATTTTAATGGTTTTTTTTTGTGATTAGACAGTAAAAAGCCTGATATTCCTGCACATACTAACATAGCAACCTCTTCTAAAACGTTTTACTTGAGTTGCTGCAAAGGGCAGGGATTTCATTCTATAAAATTCAGTGTGAGGGAAAAAAGAGCTGCTACTGTGAGGTTTGGTGTTTTACCTAGCCTGCTATATTTTCTCTATTATTGCTGTGTCACTCCTCTCCCTCTTCCCTCCAACATACAATGAAAAAAAGAGTTTTGTCACAAAAGCCAAGGGGCTGGAGCTGTAAACCTTGACATTACAGTGGGGTCTCTACTTAAGAACGTCTCTACTTAAGAACAATCTGACTTAAGAACAGCTCCATTTGCTAAATTTTGCTTCTACTTGAGAACAGAAATCCAAGATAAGAACAGGAAAAAAAACCTTTCCTGGTCTTTTTTTAATCTTAGGTCATCTTAGGTTAAAAAAAAATTCTCCCCCTAGTGGTAGAGTACGTATTAACCAGCTTTGCATTAGTTCCTATGGGA